TCAAGGCAAGCACATTTTCGAAACGCGCGGTTGTAAATTTCTGACACGATTTTGCCGGTTCCCAATTTTTCTTTGCCCGCACCAAATAAATCGGCGCTATCACAACAAAATCGATAAAAGATAAAATGAAAAACCTACTAGTTTATCTGCTAGCTGCAAATGCAAAATAACTTGATGAAACTCGAATCGTCGATCTGAGGTGAAAATAGGAATAACCTGTCATGACCTAGAACAATCCTGTGAACCTTCCATTGTTCCAACGTTTCCTCGATCTAAATCATCGCAAAAGCAAGGATTTCAACCTATGAAGATGATGGAATCAAATCTGGAAGAGAGCGACGAAAAGATTGATCGAATTGCTTGAAGTAGTCGGTACGGCAATTGTGAAGAAGGATGAAGGGAGGAAACGAAGTCGACTGAGTTGATGGGCGAAAGAAGCGCAACGCTAAACAAGGTGAACGAAGCAGAAGTAAATTAGCGATTGAACTGAATGCTTTCATTGCAAACTTCAACAACTCCAACCGTGAAAATTGATGCAAATTGGGGAAGTGAATCGAAGCATCACAACCTATTATATTTGTGTCTGCAGCGAAAAGATGCTGATGAAAACACGATAATCGGCGTTTAATTGCGCTTTTGCGTAGTTGAAGTTGAAATATTTACAGTGCAAATGTTCCTGAAATTACGCCTCCTTTTCCAATGTTGTACCGAGCAGTTTGTTTAAGAAACACAATTGAGAAGACTTATAACCTCAAATAGATCTCTGTTAATATAATTGATATTTAAATGTGTTTATGTGGTAGAATTCCGAGCAGATAACATATCCACTTAACACAATGTGTTCATCAAAGTGAATATGATATGAGACAATGCAAATTCATCGCCAACAACACATCATCACTGGTGTTGTACTGACCAAAACAAAAGATGTAACCAAGCGAGTTGATCATAAACTTTGTGGTAAACCAANCGTTAAGCCATTCTAGACGCCTACTCACCTACAATTTATCATTGAGCATCGCATCTCTTTGAATATTTCTCATCAATTCGCTAGTGCATAAATTTCGATATGTACAATACTCTGATCAGTTCTTACGATTTCAATGGTGAAAAATATGGGAGAAAATCATCAATTCCACATGTTTCGAGGTCTTGTTGCGCAAGAAATTTTATTCGTATATATTAAAAAAACAAGGAAAGAAGAACATTTAACAAGGATTCAACTCGCTGTCTTCTTATAATCATCGTAATTACATATTCTTCGTCATTCGCACTTCAGTGAATAATTTCATCAAAGACACGATTCGTATTCTGATACAAAAACAGGATCGTTGGGATGCATCGAAGCAGGATAGAATGTCCAATGGGATTTAGCGTTTTGAGAGAGTTTGCGTGAAGAAAAACTGATCCAAATCACCGTAAACACACCTGAGGAAGAGAACCTCATATAAATTTGAATTGGTTGGTTGTCCTCTCAGTTGGACAACGCAAGTTTCAATGAATGCCAAGCAGTCCGCTGGAGGCACATCTCGAGGTGAAGTTGCGGCTCGACACTGCAAGAGTGCTTGATCTAAAGGAAGATGATTGATTAGTTTAACCGTTAGCAATTAAAATATATCCTTCTTTCAATTCATCCTTCAACTCCACTTAATGCAATGGGATATCGAGCGATCAAGTGCAGCTCGTAAAAGAGCACGAACTGATCATAATCATGTGAGCACTCAACGAATCGTGCAATCAAATGAGTTCGAGATAATGCATAAAAATGAAGGTGAATCTTTCGAGTGACTAAGAAGTAAGAAGAAATTGAAAAGCAAAAGGGAAAAAGTATCGATCAATGTTAGATATAAGCAATCATGCATACTTTGTAAGCAGGCATTCGTTTGTCTGCGACAGTCTTGAGTCGATACCATGTCTGAAGCAGACATCCTCATGATCGAATTAACAAATGCCTCAATATTGGACAACCTAATTAAAGAATTCAGCTGGCAGTTTCGTGCCGTATTGATCGAGAACAGCCACCTAATGTAATTTTTCACACTGATAATAGGTAGATCAACGTTTTACTATGAAACACTCAATGGAGATATCCGTTTGTTTATTTTTTTGGAATGGGCGGTTGTGAATCACTTTTATTACGTGCAAATATTTAAAGCAAAATCTCACCAAAACTGCATATGAGTAAGCATGTAATTCCTATCAGCAGCAGTAAACGAGAGCTCATAATTGCTCGAAGTAAACACTCTGAAAAAATTGATTCTTGAAACGTTATGTTCGATTATTATTACATAACATCGATAGACATTGCGAATCAGTAAAACATTTTCCTGAATCGATAGTATCTATCGATAGAATATTCTGAAAACCAAATTTTCTCGATTAGACGTACACAGGTTTCAGCTCACAGAGCTTGAGCTCATTCCTATTATATCACTGATGTTTTAAAAAATGCAAATTATGCTACCAAATCCACCTCATGAGAGTTTCCGTGAGCAGCTAGAATTCAACAAATCGCTATGCCGGCAAAACAGCTACATGAACATGGAAATTAATACGTAGCACTAACATGAAGAGTGTTTGTGTGATGACAAGTGTGTGATAGAAATCAAGATTCTGATGCTCTTTTATGCGGTCTGTCGGTATTTTTGCATACCTTCGTTGACGATATTGCACATGCTCACAGTGTACATTTNATTTTTGCATACCTTCGTTGACGATATTGCACATGCTCACAGTGTACATTTTAATAATTTGCATATTGTTATGGCCATTCCTTTATTCTCATTGTACGGTTCACCAGCAAAAACGACACTTGATTTCATGATATCATTGCAAAGGACATTTTCGCAACCACACAGTGATAAACAAGTTGTGCTTCATTGCAATAATTATTATCAATCATCATCAATAAAATCTGTTATTGCATTTAAAATCGCAGAATAAGCGTACTGATGAAAAAGTATTAGCAGCTTCAATGTTAGCAGCATCTAGTCTCGAGCGGATCTTCCCAGCTCTAGTTGGCATATCGGAATGTTCGACCTGTTCTAAGTTCGATACTCTTGTCAAAGCAATCTTCGTAATTAAACTCTTCCATAAAGGTGCTTATCTAGAAATAATCTCAGAATTGTTAAGACATGCTAACGTAGGATGTTCACAGTAACGTAGGATGTTCAATAATTCTATGGTTTGAGATACCATAGTCATTCTATGAACACATTCAAAGGTCATCGATCAAATTGGAAAATTTGCCACGTTCCCATTGCAGCAAGATTCCAGCTGTGTAAAAAACGTAAGCCTTTTCATCCAGAACCGTTGTCAGCAATTTGATGTGTATCGTTGATGAATGGTGAATTTGTCATAAACATTTTCAAGGATTCTTTATTGATGCAAACGGAGAACAATACA